CTTGGCTTACCCAGGGAGGTCTCTGTACATTAACTGGGAACCCTTCTATGTGGGACTGCCTCACAGAGCATTGTGTTTTACTGCTTGCCTCCACCCCCAAACCTCTCTTTTATTATTTATTTATTGTGAGATTTTTGCTATAGGGTGCACATGCTTACCAGAGTGACGGAAAGACAGAAAGTGAGCATCACCCCCAGGGGGAGTGACCAAGCCGCAACTTTTCTCCTCCATTCTCTTCTTGGGATCTTGTGGATGCATGCACATGCACCCGGCATGAGTTTTAAGCTGCTGGGTCCAGGACTTGAACCGCAGTCGATTACGTGGGAGTCCAACAATGTAACCGTTATGCCATCTGTTGGTCTCCGAAGCTCTCTTTTAAAACATATATTTTATGGAACCAGCGAAGGAAAATGAGAACTCACCCCCCAGGGGGGATGGCCACACCGCAATTCCTTCTCCTCTGTTCTCCTCTCAGGATTTTGGGCACATGCACACACTCCTGGTGTGTTTTTCAGGCTGCTGGGTCCAGGACTTGAACCGCACAGTCAGCCATGTGGGATCCAGTCACCACAACCTCCATGTCACCAGCTGGCCCTCCTCACTATTTAGCCTGCATTTCTCTAACAGCTAGTGGTGTTGAATACTAAACCATAGTTCTGGGACAGCCAAGTTTGAAGGGTCCTTAGGAATCTGAGCCTCTGTCTTCCAGAGAGGGACATGGAGGTGCTCCAAGCTGCCATGGTCCAAGCCGTCCCACTTCCTGTTTCTTCCCTTCGAAGAAAGAGGCAGCATTTGTTTCCAGCCCTCCTTAGCCTCTGGCTCAGCTCTTCACAGTAGCTCTGCAGGCTCTGGCCAGCAGCCCAAGGTCTTTGAGGGTTTGCTTGGTGTGTAGAGAAATGGCAGGACACGCTTTTACAAGATGGAGAAGAATGGAAGGAGAGATTGGGGCTTCTAGAATCCAGAGACTCTTGGGGAGGAACTGATCCTGTGAAGGAAGGAGTTTGTCCCAGAGTACCCTGAGGAATGATGCCCAGGTCCAGGAAACCATCCTCCACATAATGCCTACCACCACGGATGGTGACAGTGACCATGACAAAAGGTACCCAGGTGGTAGCTGAGAGGCCCCAGCAGCCACAGAGAGCAGGCTGCTTTCCTACGAGCATGTCCCCTTTAAGCCGGCTGCATGAGGGCTGGCGTGTGTGTCTGGCATGACGCGGCAGATCAACTTCACCACGTTGTCCGTGCAAGTTGCAGGGGCCAGGCAGGGAGCTGGAGTACAGGGTAAAGTCAGATCACAAAGGGGAGGGGCTGGAAAGTCAAGTTTGTTTTTGTTTTTGTTTTTTTTTGGTATAGGGCACATAAACCTGCTAGAGAGAAAGCGAGACAGGAAGAAAGAAATCGCCCCCTGCCCAGGATGATTTCAGCAATCCCTTTTCCTCTGTTCTCCTCTCAGGGTTTTAAGCACACAAACACACATATGCCTGGCGTGTTTCAAACTGCTGGATCTGGAACTCGAATAGCTGTTTTCCATGTGAGAGTCTAGCGCCTTAACCACTATGCCACTGCTGGCCCCCAGGTGAAATGTTTTGACCATGGTGAGTTGTCCCTGAAGGAGATTAGCTGAGCCTGCGGTCAGATCTGAGCTCCTTAGATCAGCCTGGCTGTAGTATGAAAATAAGACAGCAGGGGGGGCTAGGGAGGCATGAGCCCTCACCTGGAGGTAGACCAGCAGGCTCTGTCCAGGTCTTCCAGATAGTGCACAATGTGACTGGCCATGGTCTCCATGAGATCCCAGCCAAGTCTGCCCAGGAGACATCTGTTCTGTACTGTAAAAAGGAGAAGATAGGTGAGTTTCAGCAGCAGTTCCCTATGAATAAATACATTTTGTTCTCTTATGAATAAAATGTACTCATATTTATTCATATTAATTAATTAACAATTTGTTCAGCAGCGCGAATAAGCAAATAGCCAGACAACGAGGCAAATCCATTGTGAGCCTACGCGTTGGTCCCCAAGGCGGTTGGCTGGATGTGATACTCATCCCCAGGAACCGTGCCACCCAACTACCACATCTGGAGTTTTTCTCAGAATACGACTATCCCCATTATGGTGTGGTTATGAGGGCTAGCTCAGATAGACCATGCGCGACGTACTCTGGAAACCTTCACTGCTGTTTGCTTTGGGACTAAGGCTGTCGTGCACACGCATCATCATCATTGTTCAGCTTCATGGCTGTCTCTCCCGTGAGACCGTGAGCTCTGGGGGCAAGGTCTACTTTAGGTGTCTCTGTAACTACGTAACTTAAGTGGCTTACTACTGGTAGTGGGAGTGGGTGGGAGAGACGTGCCCTGTCCACAGTGCTGAATCTTTACGGTCCGGGTGTTTCTTGGGATGTTGTTTCTCCATCCTGTATTTCTCCAGGCCTTCCTGTGCATTTACACACACACTGAGCACATATTACAACATGTAATGTCCTGCCAGGAACAGTATCTGTTTGGTGCACTCTTCGGCACCCCCTGAGTCTGTGCTTAAGTGCCTCATTTTCTAGGAAGCATCTCCCAAGCTCTGTGGATGTTATCTCCAACACTCATCATTCATTCATTTGTGCATTTCTTCAAATCATCTTTCATTCATCCATTATTGCTTTGAGAACCTATCATGTTCTAGGCTATTGCTGGGTACAAACAAAAATCTGTCTCTCAGAAACTTGCAACTTGGACCAGCAGATGGTGTAATGGTTATGTTGCTGGACTCCCACATAGTCAACCCTGGTTCAAGTCCCAGACCCAGTGGCTTAAAACTCACACCAGGTGTGTGTGCGTGCGTGCCTAAGATCCCAAGAGGAGAATGGAGAAGAAGGAACTGCAGCGTGGCCATCATCCCAGGGGGTGGTTTCTTGCTTTCTGTCTCTCTGTCTCTGTCTCTCCAGTGAGCACATGCTCCCTATACCAAAAATCTCTCTAAAAAAGAAAGAAACTTGCACCTTGTCAGGAAGACAGACACTTATGTAAACAAGTCATGGCAATATAATATAATGAGAACAATGAGCAAGGTAACCCAGGGCACCAGGAGAGTACACGGGAAATCCCCTTACTTGGCCTGAGGAAATCAAGGTTGGCTTTCTAGAGGAGGTGAAGCCTGGGCTGAGTTTTCAAGAAAGAAGTCAGAGTTAACCACAGAAAAATGGGAAGGTTGGAGAGTAAGACTTAGCGGAAGGTGCAGAGAATGAGGCAGAGATGGGCAAAGTGAGAAGTTTGGCAAAGAACTGCAGAGTAGAGGGGAGACAGACAGAACTCATTTTGTGTTATAAAACCCCACATGGGTCAGCATGGTGGTCAAGATGGTTGGATCCCACATGGCGCGTGTGCATGATCCTGGCTGGCGGGAAGGCTTGAGGCGGGCATTATGGTGTGATGAGACCTTATCGGGGTGCCTGTTCCTCTCTCGTTCTCTCATGAGAAAGATAAAATAAACAAACATAAAAATGGAAAGAAGGCCTGCCCGATGACATGGTGGTCAGGGCAGCTGGATTCCACATGGTCCCAGACTGGGGAGCTTGGAAAACACACCTGGGCACGTGTATGTGTGTGTCCAAAATCCTGAGAGAAGGGAGGAGAAGGGATTGTGATGTGGCCACCCCTGAGAGGTGATTTCTCACTTTCCCTCTCTCTCTCCTTCTCCAGTGAGTGATGTGACCTGTAGCAAACAAATAAATACAATAGAAAAGAAATGAAACTAGCAAGTCCAGTCCCCTTATGTTACTGCTGAGGAAACTGACAGAAAGGGGAAGGGAAACACCGGTCTCCTCTGTGGACACTCTTATGACCCTCATCCTACTGACGAGGAAACTGAGAGCCGAAGAAGTGAAACAACTTGACTAGTATCTCGCCTGGTTAGCATGGCAGATTCTAATTTCCAAAAATGGTCACAGCAATATTTCCAGCCCCATGTCCCTTTCTAGAAGCTTGTTGCTCACACTCAAGATGTGGAAACTATTTAATCTCCCTCTGAACTTGATGAGGACCTTGTGACTACCGCAATGAGCAGGATAAAAGGGAAGTGATGCTACTTAGCTTCCAAAGCTAGGCTGTTTGTTTTTCATGCTGTAATTGAACAAGCACAGGTTGAGTAATTTATAAAGAATAGAGGTTCACAGGGGGCTAGCAGGTGGCATGGCGGTTAAGTCACTGAACTCCCACATGGCTGACCAAGGTTCAAGTCCCAGACCTGGCAGCCTGCTTTCTCACTTTCTCTCTCTCTCTGGTGAGTGCATGTGCCTTGCAGCAAATTTGAGAACAATAATAATAACAATAAAGAAGTTTGAAAAAAAATAAAGGTTCATGTAGTTCGTGGTTTTGGAGGGTTAAGGTCAAGGGGCCATCTCTGTTGCAGGTCTTCTTGGTGGGGAATCTCTGCAGAGTCCTGAGGTGGTGCAGGGCCTCATATAGTGAAACAGAACAGAGACTGTCTGTGTGTTTGCTTGTCTTATAAAGCCACCAGGATTCAATTATGGGGTCCCTACTCTGATGACCTTACCTAATCTTAATCACCTCCAAAGGCCCCAGCTCTTAATACCATAATTGGATTAAGTTCTTACCTTTTTTTTTTAAATTTTTTTCCTTTTTAAAGCTTTTTCCCATGGGGCATATGCACTTGCCAGAGCCAGAGTGGGAAAGTGAGAAATCACCTGCCCAGGTGGACGGCTATGCCACCACCCCTTCACCGTTCTCCCCTCAGGATTTTGGGCACGTACACATACACTCCTGGCATGATTTTCAAACTGCCAGATCTGGAACTCAGATTGTGGTTGGCCATGTGGGAATCCATCGCCTTAATCACCATGCCACCAGCAGACCTCCAAGTTTTTAACCTTCTTAAACCGTCATAATGGCTCACCAAATTTCAGCACATGAATTCGGAGTGTGTGGAGGGGAAGGGAGAGACCCTCAAACCATACCAACTGTGAAAGATACAACTCTCACTGCCTCTCTCTCTTTTAGGATGCTTGGCCTTGCAACCCAGCTGCCATGTTGTAAGGAAGCCCAAGCCAACCACTTGGAGAATTGAATCCCCCAGCCCATCAGGTGCATCAACTCCTACATGTGTGAGGGAGAGATGGAGGAAGACTTTGGATGATCCAGTCCTGGCCTTTGGGTCTTCCAGCTGAGGCCCCGAACAATAAGCAGCAGAGACAAGTATCGTCACTGAGGTGCTGTCTGAACATCTGACCTACAGCATCTATAAGCATCATAATGGCTGTCTCACAGAACTAAGTTCTGAGGTGCTTCACTCTGCAGGCATAACAACTGGGACAACTCGGGGTTTGACTCTTCACACTCTCTTCCTGGCTCTTGCTGTCTGGTAAACCCCAGCATCGTCAGCATGTCTTAGCCTCCTCTCTCCCTGCCTGGGAGCTCTGACTAATCTTAAGAGCAGTCCTTTTAATTTGGAAAAGAAAAATCCGAATTCAAAGACAGTTGTTCACAGAATGTATAAAAGCCTCTTTTGGTGACAGCTGTGGTTTGTTTCACAAAAGAGGGTCACACACCCACCTGCCTCAATCTCCTCCTACAGGGAAGAAAACCTGAGTCAAACAAAAGTAAAGTGGGTGTCTGTTCACTTCTGCCACCTGTGTTCGGTTCTCAAATCACAAAGGCTCCTTAATTTATTTATTTGTATTTTTTAGAAAGTCACCAAGGATCTGTATTACCTTGCCTCACTCCAAAACAACGGAGCTCATTCCTTCCACTGAGATTAGCATAAAAAGGGGGGTGCAGTCAGTGGCATGATGGTTATGGTGGTTGGATACCACATGGCTGACCTTGGGGTTCAGGTCCCTGACCTGGTGGCTTGGAAAACATGCTGGGCATGTTTGTGTGTGTGTCTAAAATCCCAAGAGGAGAATGGAGACAGGACTGTGATGTGGCCATCCACCTTGCGGAGGGGCTTTCTCATGCTCTCTCTCTCTCTGTCTTCCTCTGGTGAGTTCACACACCTATACCAAAATTAAAAGCAAAAACAACTTGCACTTAAGTTCTCATGGGCAGGCATGGATGCATATCCACATAGCTTCAGATCCAAGAGCCAAGTTAGCTGAATATAAGTCTGTTTCCTTCCTTCTGGACATGAGGATCAATTTGGACTTTTTGCAAGATGGGAAACACAACTGGGATGTTCAGATATAGTTTGCTGGCCTGGTAGCCTAGGATTAAAGGAAGCTGGATCCCACACAGCTGACCACAGTTCTAGTCCTGGCCTCCGCAGCTTGAGAAACACCCTGGGCACATGTGCATGACCCAAACCTAAACATGAAGGAGAAACGAAGAAGGAATTGTGGGTCCATGCTCCATGGGGGTTAGGGGGTTGTTTTCCCCCTCTCTGTCACTCTGTCTGTCTTCGGTGAGTGCATGTGCTCTCTGTAAATAATAAGAATACCATCAAGGTACAGAATCCCTGGGTTCCTCATCTTTGCCTTCTCTGCGCCATCCTCCTTTTCCAGAGCCTCTTTGGGGTTTCCCAGCAACTTCAGCATCTCCATCTTCCTAAACTCAATACAAAGGAAGGCAGAACTCCTTGTCAAGAGCTCAGGAAGAAGTCAGAGAACTGAACCTTGCTGGCCCCGGTTGGCCTGCCTTGAGTCACCACAGCCCGAGATCGGGGCGCACCTGTGTGTTCCATTTAGGACACACGCTGTGAATTTGACTGAATAGGAGAGTGGTGAAAAAGTAGAAAACCGGGAGCTGTTATCAGAAGGAAGGGAAGATTAGGCCAGCTGGAATATAAGACGCCAGCCACTATGGGGAGGAATTGGGTGTGCTGAGCAAGAAAGTTTAAATAGCCATGGCCCCAGCAAGCCCACAGAGGAAGCGTAGAAACGGTCATTACAGACGTTTGAAACGATGCCTTGAGCTCGCTGGGCAACATCAAGTAAAACATCACATGACAGGTAACTTTTCCACCTCCCCCTTCAGACTGGCAAAAAGTGAAAGCCACGAGAGGCCTTTGAAAGTCTGAGGAGGGGCCAGGTGGTGGCACATCAGCAAAGCGTGCTGCTGTGAGGCAATCCCACGTGGGAAGGTTCCCAGTTCAAGTCCAGAGACTTCCCTATGGGATCTGGGGGTGCACTGGCCTGTGATCCAGGGCTGGCTGAAGGCTGGGGATAAGATGCAGCGTCAAGATCCTGTTAGGGGGGACCAGCAGTTAGTGTAATAGCTATGTCACTGGACTCCCACGTAGTCGACCGCGGTTCACATCCCGGACCCAGTGGCTTAAAACTCACGCCGGGCGCGTGTGCGTGTGTGCCCAAGATCCCGAGAGGAGAATGAAGGAGAAGGGATTGCGGCGTGACCATCCCTCCGGGGGGTGATTTCTCGCTTTCTGTCTCTCTGTCTCTCTCTGTCTGGGGCGTGGTGGCACCTGCCCTATGGCAAAAACCTATGGAGGCTGGAGATTGCGGCATCGAGTCCATCTGTCTGTCTGGTGAGTGCATGTGCCCTATAGAAAAAAACCTCTCCAAAAAAAAAAAAGATCCTGTTAGGGGGCACTGTTTCTCTCTCTGTGTCTCACCCTTTCTCTGTCTCTCTTGCTCATGGAGAAAATAAATAAACCTTAAAAAATAGGCTCATGGAAAATGCATATTATGAAAAAAGTGCATAAATTTCAAATTTTTGGACCAAAATAAACTCATACGTTAATTCCATTTTGTACCACCTTTTTGAAGTCTTCAGGTGTACCCAGTGTTGGCAAGGGTGTGGGATCACGTACTCATACACAGATGGTGGGGTATAAACTGAGGCATCCTTTTGGAAAGTCAATCTAACAATATTTCTCAAAAGATTTAAATTCTTACTTCTCAGGGCCAGCAGTGGTGTGGTAGTTAAAGCCCTGGAGTCCACTTGACTGACTGCTGTTCAAGGCCTGGACCTGGCTGTTTCAAAATCACAATGCAGACGTGTGTGTGTGTGTGTGTGCCCAAGATCTCTAGAGGAGAACGGAGGAGAAGGGACAGTGGTGTGGCCGTCCCCCTTGGGGATGATTTCTCACTTTCCTGCTCACTGTCTCTCTCCTCTCTGGCAAACACATGAACCCTATGGCAAAAAAACTTAAAAATAAGTAAGTGGGACCAGCAGTTGGCATAACGGCTATGTCGCTGGACTCCCATGTAGTCGACAGCAGTTCGAGTCCTGGACCTGGTGGTTTAAAGTCACTGGGTGCATGTGTGTGCCCAAGATCCTGAGAAGAGAATGGAGGAGAAGGGATTGCAGCATGGCCATCCCCTCTGGGGGGTGATTTCTCGCTTTCTGTCTCTCTGTCTTTCTGGTGAGCGCATGTGTCCTATAGCAAAAACCTCTTTGAGAGTAAATAAGTAAATTTGTGCTTCTGGAAACTGATGCACAAGTGCCCAAAGATATATGTAAATGTGATGTTTGACAAAGGAGTGTCTGTAAAAATGAAAAAGGAGAAACACCCCAAGAGTCCACCAGCAACGAGTATGTATGAAGTGCGGCACCATCATGCCATCCGGTACCGTGTCACCATGAAAGCAAGACACACTCGAATAGCAACGGATACTCTCTGAGATCCAATAAATGCAAAAAGCAAGATACCAAAGATGCAGAGGGTATGATCTCATTTATGGGGAAAAAAAAAAACATTTGAGAAATGAGAGTAATGTAGTTGTGATACAGATGATAGAACCAGGCTGCCTGGGTTTGAATCCCATCTCCTCTTTTCTGAAGCTGTGTGACTTTGGGGAAGTTACTTTACTTCTCTGGGTGTGAGTTTCCTCCTCTGCAAAACAGAGAGAATAATAAAATTTGCTGGGCCAATAGATGTCGTGGAGGTTAAAGTGGATGTATCTCACATGGCCAACTGCGTGGCTTGCAAATCATGCTGGGCAGGGGACAGCCGGCGATGTAGTGGTTAAGGCTCTGGACTCCCACATGCCTGACAGTGGTTCAAGTCCCAGGCCTGGCAGTATGAAACTTATGCTGGGCACGTGTGTATGCATGCCAATGGCTATGTCGCTGGACTCCCACATAGTCGACCATGGTTCGAATCCCAGACCCAGTGGCTTAAACTCACTCTGGGCACATGTGCATGTGTGCCCAAGATCCCGAGAGAGGAATGGAAGAGAAGGGATTGCGGCATGGTCTTCCCCTCGGGGAGTGATTTCTTGCTTTCTGTCTCTCTGTCTCTCTCAAAAGGAACCAGCAGTTGGCGTAATGGCTATGTCGCTGGACTCCCACATAGTCGACCATGGTTCGAATCCCAGACCCAGTGGCTTAAACTCACTCTGGGCACATGTGCGTGTGTGCCCAAGATCCCGAGAGAGGAATGGAAGAGAAGGGATTGCGGCATGGTCTTCCCCTCGGGGAGTGATTTCTTGCTTTCTGTCTCTCTGTCTCTCTCTGTCTTTCTGGCAAGCACAACCGCTCTATAGCAAAAACCTCTCCAAAAATTTTTTATATAAATAAAAACAATCAAGAAAAAAAGAAAAAAAATCAGGGTTGGCAGGTGACATAGTGGTTAAGGGCACTGGACTCCCACATGACTGACCATGGTTTGAGTACTGGGCCTGGT